AAAAAAAAAAAATATATATATATATATATAATATTTTAAATTTATATATTATATATATAATTTTAGTGTTCTTAAAATTGATAACTAAGTAGATAAGGCAGATAAATTATATTCTGAGCATCCATCTGTTTCTCTAAAGACAAAACAGAAAACCAATTTTTATTTCCTTGACAATGCTATTAAAACAAAGAGTAAGGGCAAATACATGCTAATACACTGGGGTGAAGACATTACCAATTCTTGAATGAAAATAAAAGAAAATTTCACGGCTAACCATAAACTGAAAATGAAAACTAAATGTTTCGCTGTGTCCTGGATCATTGCAATGTTTACGATGGACTGGATTTTTTTTTATAGCTTCCCTATCTGATGTTTTGTTTAGTTGGGAAATGATTCTTCCAAATTATATTGTGACCTTCATTCTTTGTTTTATTTAATTATCTACTAAACGACAAAACATACGATGCTACATATTACTTTTATTAATGTTAACTTATATATTGAAGTAGAGTTGTACTAACCATGTCATGGTGACAGCAGGACAGCGGAGATGGTATGCTCCCTGGTGTCGTATAACATACTTGATCCAGTAGAGGGCCACCTCTGCTGGCTCTTGTGGACGATCTATCATAATTTTGGACCTTGTTGCTACCTCAATTTTCATGCTGCTTCGTCACACACACCAAGAAAGTAAATTCTATTATATGTTGCATCATTGTGCATGTAATTATAGAAATATTTTGTGATGTTTGAAGGTTAATCTGTCATGTGGGAAGGGGGGGGGGGATTTTTGCTGGTTTTGAGTTCAGGATTCAAGTAGTTGAATCAAACCTCCCTTTTTTTGGATCATTTCTGGCAACTTTCCATTCCTTAGGTGCTGTATGACTGAATAATAATAATAGTAATAATAACACAACAATAATTATAAAAATAATAAATGATAATGTTACTACAACCACTAGTACATTACTAACTTTTACTGCTGTATGGAGTGTGAAGTGTATGTAGCTAGGATCTATTAACTTCACTCTTGTTTGTAAATTCTACGTTCCGTTTTGACACCTCACATCTATATAATTTCATATTACTTGTTATCCCCTTCTGAGCCAAATACTAAGGAAAAAGAGAGAAAAAAAAATATTCGTGAATGAGAGTTGGCAATATAGAAAAACTTGGCTGCCGTGGATCGTATAAACCATACCCCCGGCCGGGATTGAACCCGCGGTCATAGAGTCTAGGATCGTATAGGAAGAATTAAAAAAAAAAAAAGATCCCTTCTCGCTAAACTCTAGCTACTCCCGCCTAAGATAATACATATACAGCCTAGTTAAGGTCTCGGTACTAAGGCAAATAGTATTCCGAAAATCATCTTCAATTACATTCACAATCCTATTTTATAATCCTTCACAGAGACATAATCTCCCTATTGCACCTTATTTCACATTCGATTAACATACTCTAGTTGATAAAATGAATTTCGGAGGTTCATTGTAACTATCATGTTCTTGCACTTACGGAAAGGCAGCTCAGTAACGAGTGATGGCGAATGTGCTTATCTTCTTCGAGTCACCCTCGGTAGGAAAAAGCCGAGTTGAAACACAAAGTCAACCTTTAATATAAACGTTAAACTTTGCGATTACCGTACCATTTGTTGTTTTAAGAGACGAAGAGAGACATAGTAATACCTTGTGTCATTCATGACGCTGTTGATCATATTCTTGAGATTATCAAAAGTAAGTTGATCCCAGAAGAGCACTTTGCCCCAGCCATCCCTCTGCACCTTGATCATGTTAGCCTGCTGGTCACCAAACACAGGGATTCCCAGCACTGATACACCGTTGTACATGGACTCCAGGGTGCTCAACAACCCACCGTGTGTGATGAACAAACGCAAGCGAGGGTCACCTGTGTAATGATACAAGTGTGGTTAGATTATTATTATTATTATTATTATAGCCATAGGGAAGTGTTCGGAAAGGCCTAAGCATTGCATTTGTTTCTGTGAGCAGTTCATTTACACGATGAGCTTTGTTGTTATTTTATAAGTGTAGAATTTAGTTAAGAGTGTAAGAACTACGTCCCTACCTATAATTCCTCTGTCAACGTACACTACAATATTTCCAGTTGAAACTTACTACAATATTATTTTTTAACTATACATTCAACACATTTATGAATTATATTTTTTAGGTCTTTTAGTATTACATTTACGTTTTTATTTAGAGACAATAAAAAATGTTTCACACCAAAGTAATGTCAGAATTTTTTTGTGAGTCTGTTCTGGCGATGGACCTGAAGCTTCAGCTCTCTCAGTCCCCGCCTTAACAGAACCCTTTTGGAGGAAATTAGATGTACCTACCAAGAATATCTTGTTGTGGGAGCCACTTGCCAAGACGGACATTTGGGGGCAGGTCATCCATAGTGTCCTTATCCCACTTCCACAAGACTCTCTGCTTGAGGGAAGCAAACACTTGAACAAGGACAGTGCGGTACCTGTGTATATTGTGTGTAAGGTTAACTAACATACTGTATCACTGGTCTCATACAGATATGTTATTATCTGCAGATTTTTTTCACAAAAAAATGTTTAAGAAATAGAGTTGAAAAAGTATGAAAAGAAAGACACAAGCTGAAGAAAAAAGTTTTAAATACGATAATGTGTTCATCTGTGTAGAGCTTTATATAGACATGATAAATACTTTACACAAAACTTGTTCTGCAAATTATGTTTCTATCTTCTACTTACCAGTAATGCCCCATTTCATCAAGTTGAGAAAGTATATGTACTTACAGCTGTGGAGCTCACAGTGTGTAACTTAGACGAAAATTATATAAATATCGTCGCCCTCATCAAACGCTGAAAGATAAAGCAAAAGTTTACTCACTCCTCTGGCATGTCGGATGGTGTGACAGCCGAACCAAGACTGAAGAAGATGAAGCCATCATCACCAGCACCTTGCACCCAATCTTCGAGGTCCTGTAAGTAAAAAGACTATGTGAAATATACTATGTAATTTAAGTGAGAACTTTGTTGGCATCGCTCTAGTATAGTAACTATTTAGTTTGTTACATTTACAGCCCATAGACTGCAAGGGTTATTAGTGGTTATTAGTACAAAAACACCACTGAACAAAACCAATGTGCTTTCAGTTTGGCCAAACCTCTATTATGTATTGTACTGTAACGATAGTGGCTAACCTGTGTTTAGTTAACATTCCAAAAACATTTCAACGAATTGCCTCACTCGGTAGCTAAATAAACTGTGAAAGACATTATGGCATAATGGTAACCTTTACTGAGAAAACGGTTCGTTTTTCGCATGTTTGTTTTCGAACCTGGCATTATCAGGTGCGTTACTGACAATGTCAGGTCAAGTGGGATGAGGGTGGTGTGTGTGCCGATAAGCAGGTCAGTCTGGAGTCTCGTCAACTGGAAGCCTCTCTTGTTCCGAGTAATGGTGTCTGTGGTATAAACGAGCGTCGATTCCAGGCATTATCAAGCATAATCATGTTCGCTCTGTGGTAAGCCATGTGGAGAGATGCCGTGTTACGAGGTAAAATACAGACCATTATTAGTGTTATCGGTGGGTGTGGATGAATCACTAGTCGTCTTACCCACGTACAATTTATTACACTTACTGCAAGTGTTGGTGTAGATGCTTGCAGTATTCTAGGGGTTGGCTTTAACCTTCTTTTTCTCAGCCTCAAAGCAACTTGCTCTAAATAAAGATTTCCGTTTTACCATAGTGTCGCTTATGAGACACCTCATATCACCTGTTTCTACCTTACCTTCCTTGAGTATATACATGTGATACCTAAAAACCTGTGTGGCTTACTGAAGGTCTCCAAAGAGGAAAATATTTTTCCCAATTTAAGCTTGTTGAACATCTTGTGTCCTTCCCTTCATACACTTACTCAATTGTGCACGAGGTAACTTACTTTTGGGAGAGGCTGTGCCGGACGGAGATGGATGCCTCCACAATTAACCACGGCAAGAACAATGGGACGAGCCGGGTAGTCGATGGTAAGTACACTGCAGAAATTGAACCCAGCTGACCATGGTTTGTATTTATCATATATTACGTAGTTTTTATATATATATTTTATTATTTTTTTTTATTTATTATCACACTGGCCGATTCCCACCAAGGCAGGGTGGCCCGAAAAAGAAAAACTTTCACCATCATTCACTCCATCACTGTCTTGCCAGAAGGGTGCTTTACACTACAGTTTTTAAACTGCAACATTAACACCCCTCCTTCAGAGTGCAGGCACTGTACTTCCCATCTCCAGGACTCAAGTCCGGCCTGCCGGTTTCCCTGAACCCCTTCATAAATGTTACTTTGCTCACACTCCAACAGCACGTCAAGTATTAAAAACCATTTGTGAATCATTTGTCTCCACTCACTCCTATCAAACACGCTCACGCATGCCTGCTGGAAGTCCAAGCCCCTCGCACACAAAACCTCCTTTACCCCTCCCTCCAACCTTTCCTAGGCCGACCCCTCCCCCGCCTTCCTTCCACTACAGACTGATACACTCTTGAAGTTATTCTGTTTCGCTCCATTCTCTCCACATGTCCGAACCACCTCAACAACCCTTCCTCAGCCTCTGGACAACAGTTTTGGTAATCCCGCACCTCCTCCTAACTTCCAAACTACGAATTCTCTGCATTATATTCACACCACACATTGCTCTCAGACATGACATCTCCACTGCCTCCAGCCTTCTCCTTGCTGCAACATTCATCACCCATGCTTCACACCCATATAAGAGCGTTGGTTAAAACTATACTCTCATACATTCCCCTCTTTGCCTCCAAGGACAAAGTTCTTTGTCTCCACAGACTCCTAAGTGCACCACTCACCCTTTTCCCCTCATCAATTCTATGATTCACCTCATCTTTCATAGACCCATCCGCTGACACTCCACTCCCAAATATCTGAATACATTCACCTCCTCCATACTCCATATTTTATGTTCAACGCTAATGTATACTGCTACTCCTTGGGATACGACCCAAATAGTGAAAAAAACACCCTGGTGCCCATTTATTACTACGTAAAGAGGGGCAGCAGATGTGAGTAGACTTTTACATAGGTCTAGTCCTACCCAGGAATCGAACCAAGGTGTTACCGGCTGTGAACTATGCTCTCTAACAACTTTGATACTAGCATTTAACAGGTACTACAAACGTTATGCACTAATGAATAACTATTCCCAAATGAAAATTTGAATGGGCAGAGAAGCTCATACGCACACACACGACCCCTGCAACCACAATTAGATGAGTACAATTAGGTGAGTAACACACCACAACACACACAACACACACACACACACACACACACACACACACACAACATATATATATATATATATATATATATATATATTATATATATATATATATATATATAACAACACTCACAAGCCAAGGACTCGAACCATGCTGCTTTGGCCTGCCTCATGGTGGGCGAAAAACGCATGACGGCCTAATCCACTGGACCATACGATCCTTAAAAGTAGGGCATCCAGCGGAACTGGATGTTGTACTCCCTACCCAAGGACACACGATGGTGTGGATCGAATCGAATCGAATAAGACGACGAGAGCTGTCGTGAGATGGGAAGGAAGGATGGAAATAACTGGAAAAGGATGGGAAGGAGGGGAAGAGGAGGAATCAAGGCAGGTGGCCCAACCACTTTGGGACATGTGGTACGAAGTGCTGGAGACGTAGATGGAGAGGCTTGAATGATGTCGTTACTTGGCTCATTAGGAGAGGATGGCGAAGGCAGCGGTAGGAGCTGGGAGTGTCACAAGGCAGCAAGCAGGATGAGTTGGTTATTCTCTTGAACCGTTTTTCATTGCATTGAATTTTGTTCGAGAGAGTTGTATCACACGTATGGGAGAGCTGTAGAAGAGTTCGTTGGTTTGGAGTTGGTGGATTATCTGGTTGACGGTAGGGAAAGGCTTTTCGTCGCTGATGTACTTTTCAGTGTTGTCTTGGAGATGTTGGATGAGTTCTAGGCGAGTCATTGGTGTGGGGTATTGCGTCGTGGTGAAGAACGAGAGTCCTTTGTGTTTAACGCTTAGTGTTCCAGGTAGTTTACATAAGCGAGGTGGAGAAGGCGGTGGTGGAGTTGAGGAAGGTGGTGTGGATGGCGGAGGTAGGGTAGGATCTTGGTTGGTCGCGGTTGTGACAAGCCAATCGACCAATAGCAGGCGTGGTGCTGTCTTGGATGTTGTCAGGTGAGTGTTGATTGGAGGATTCAGAAGAGGAGGCGTCGTCGTCATCATTATCAATTATTAATTCCTTCAAGTCATCTGGCGCTTCAAAACTTACGATCTTCGGGATTATTTTCAAAATCTCAGCTGATGGTGGACTTGCAGGGAAGTTAAATGATGGCATGTTGTTAAGTGCAAGAAGTTCATTAATAGTCGTGTTGAAAGAGCCAGGTTTTGCAGCATTTTGCATGTGAGCAAACATCATGCAGTAATAGAATTTGGTAGAGATATCATCAGGTGGAGGTTGGGTAGTGAGAGGTGGTGGAGACGACTGTTGAGTGGCTTGTAGAATCTTGGATGTTGTTGATTGAATCTTTGCAATTGCAGTGTATGAAGGAGAGGTTCCAGATGTCTTCTTAGTTTCTTCGTTCAGTTTCTTAGAGAGGACATCCTTACGCACTGGACATTTGGCTGCAAGAGTATGGTGGTCACTCTTACAGTTGATGCAAGTGGGAGCAGCAGTGGAAGTGCAAGAACGAAAATCGTGACCTGCAGACCCACAGGTGGAACATATCTTCTTGTTCTTCACGTGGCAGTCAGCAGTAGAGTGACTGTACGAGTAGCATGTCCAACAAGGTGTTATGTACGTGAAGCGTTCAGGTTCAATCTGACGAAGGTTAATGAAGTAGTAAGAGATGGCCAGGCCATCAGACAGTGCTCTGGTCGCCATGGTAACATCCAGAAACGTGACCTTGAGCATCGAGGAAGCGTTGGGGATCTTCACAAGAGTCAATCTGTCGGTATTTTATACCATTTTACTTGGCCCAAGTGTTGAGGTCTTCAAGTGATGACGTTATTTCCTCGATAGACATGTTCGTGATTAGCCTGTCAAGGCGTTTCATGAACACATGCGTTTTGCACGCATGTATGGTGACGTGGAGATGATAAAACCGCGGTCTTCTAATGTCTTCATGGCTGTAGGTGTAAGTACTTTGTCAGCTTCAGCATCATCGAGAAAGGTAACGATGAAGGCTTCTTTCAGTGAAGTAATCTTGGAGAATATGGCGTGAGGACAAGTGTTGAGTGAGGTTGCAAGATGGTGTGGATGACTCTAGGCTAATTTCATCCTAGTCCCTGTTTGGTGTACTAGTTCAACGAGCAGTATTTTATATTATTGTGACCACAAACGAGTGGTATTGATCAATAACAACACTGCACTAGCCAAGGACTCGAACCCATGCTGCTTTGGCCTGCCTCATGGTGGGCGAAAACGCATGACGCCCTAATCCACTGGACCATACGATCCTTAAAAGTAGGGCATCCAGCGGAACTGGATGTTGTACTCCCTACCCAAGGACACACAATGGTGTGGATGACTCTAGGCTAATTTCATTCTAGTCCCATCTAGTTCCGCTGGATGCCCTACTTTTAAGGATCGTATGGTCCAGTGGATAAGGGCGTCATGTGTTTTCGCCCACCATGAGGCAGGCCAAAGCAGCATGGGTTCGAGTCCTTGGCTAGTGCAGTATTGTTATTGATCAATACCACTCGTTCGTGGTCACAATAATATATATATACATATACATATATATATTATTATATATATATATTATATATATATATATATATATATATATATATATATATATATATATATATATATATATATATTATTTCTTTCAACACACCGGCCGTATCCCACCGAGGCGGGGTGGCCCAAAAGGAAAAACGAAAGTTTCTCCTTTCAATTTAGTAATATATGCAGGAGAAGGGGTTACTAGCCCCTTGCTCCCAGCATTTTAGTCGCCTCTTACAACACGCATGGCTTACGAAGGAAGAATTCTGTTCCACTTCCCCATGGAGATAAGAGGAAATAAACAAGAACAAGAACTAGAAAGAAAATAGAAGAAAACCCAGAGGGGTATGTATATATACGCTTGTACATGTATGTGTAGTGTGACCTAAGTGTAAGTAGAAGTAGCAAGACGTACCTGAAATCTTGCATGTTCATGAGACAGAAAAAAAGGACACCAGCAATCCTACCATCATGTAAAACAATTACAGGCTTTCGTTTTACACTCACTTGGCAGGACGGTAGTACCTCCCTGGGCGGTTGCTGTCTACCAACCTACTACCTAGGATACATATATATATATATATATATATATATATATATATATATATATATATATATTATATGTAATATATATATATATATATATATATATATATATATATATATATATAATATATATATATATGTAATATATATATATATATATATATATATATATATATATTATATATATATATATATATATATTATATATATATATATAATATATATATATATATATATATATATTTATTTATATATATTTTATATATATATATATATATTATATATATATATATATATATATATATTATATATTTATATATAGATATAATGTATATATATATATATATATATATATAATATATATGTGTGTGTGTGTGTGTGTGTGTGTGTGTGTGTGTGTGTGTGTGTGTGTGTGTGTGTGTGTGTGTGTGTGTGTGTGTGTGTGTGAGTGTGTATTTCATATATAGTAATGATTTTCATATTCATCTTCATTGAGTTTAGACAGGACTCAGTTACTGACTTTCACAGAATGATTCAAACGTCATTGTTTACAATCCTTAGTGGGTTTTCCCCACTTCCCAGCAGTCCTCTGTTACACTATAAGAAATGACAGGCGAGGGAAAATACTGTTACACGGGCTTAATGCTGCATATAATTAACGATAATAAAAAGAAACACGTTCATACCTACCTGTTTATCAATAAAAGACTAGCATTAATGCGAATTTCTGAAAGACTTGGCATGTCAGGGGGACACAGGCCTCTCCTGCGACATTCTTCTTCTATCCTGAAGGTAGTAGTAAATGGAGTCAATTATTGATGGAAATAGTGTATTACCGCACTGAGATAAATTATTGTTAGTAACAGTCAAACGAGGATTTAAAGTAGACACAATAACTTGTGATTTAACTATATTCTTTCACTAAACTATGTTTACATTTAAACATACTGTGTATCAACTGTTAACATAATCCAGCTCATTAGCGAACATATCAAGACAGAACGGATTGGCTTGGTTCTATTCGACTGCTAGATGGCTCCTGTTACCCTGGTTACTGCTGACCAACATGACAGAATCGTGGGTTTTGTCTTGTTTGTTTCTAGTTCAGAATAAATACAAAATTGTAGGGGGCTGAATGAGCTGCAATGCAAGTTGCACCCACTGATCTATTCGTGCACAAAAGGTTTTTGTTTTAATAGTTTCAAGCCATATGTTTCTTATCTCATTTCCGAGGTTCAGTCTTTGACCGAGTCGTAGATGCGATGATTTTCTGACGCAACAACATAAAGTCCCTGGAAGCTCTTATTAATAAATAACAGAATAAAACGTAAGATACACAACAAAATTAAGTGGACCTAGATAAAACTATCAACACTATGAAAATATCAACAGTATGAAAATGTCAAGAGCGTGAAATTTTCAACATATAAAAATATTAACAGTATGAAAATATTAGCATATAAAAATATCAACAGGATTATTATATTAACAATATAATCCACATACATCCATTATCCAGTCATAATACTTCGCTATTGTAAATGAAACACTTCAGGTAGTAACAAAAAATAATTTAAAAAGCGCAAATAATTACGTACCTGTTGGCCGCAACATAAGACATGAGGAAATCACCGAGAACCTCGGATAAAGTGCTGATTGCTCGCTGCATGAAGGTCATAGGATGTTTGTAGGCTAATATAGGAGAGGCATCATAGGAAGGAAAGCGTGGGTTACCTGTCATTGATGAGACTGGCCCCATCAGCCCTGCTGGATTAACGTATACGAAAGGAACCTGCCAAGGAATTAGAAGGATACCATAATAGTAAACTTTGCGGTTACTGTAATAAGTGCTACTACTATTACTACTGCTACTACTATAAATAATAATAATACTAAAAATAAAAGTAATGAAGATTATATGAACAATTAGTGTTTCTCTGTTTCATCACTTCTAGAAATAACTATGTTTACATATGTACATTACCTACATATTTTACTAAATACTTTAACACATTAAAACACACATTTAACATGATACATGACTTACCTTCATCTGATAAATCAATGACAAGAAACAGTCAGACATAGCTACGCTGAGGAGAACCAAATCAAAATCTTCTTTCAGTAAATTCTGAACTTCTTCCTTCCCCAGAGCATCAGAACACAGAACCGGTGTAACACTTAACAGTGCCAGTGGGCAGACATTTATGTCCAGTGAACATATTGGGAACCCTATCCAGTAAATCCACGCCTGTCAGGACCACCTCACGAACATTGTTCCGTTCCTTTGATGGCTTGATCGGGGTCACTAACGTCACCTGTACACACAAAAAAGGAGAAACATAAGCAGGTGTAAGTATGATAGGCATACTCTTCTATTTTTTAACGCTGGCTGAGGACCAGTGAGCAATATATTGCTCACTCTAGGTCAATACATAGACTATACCAAAGTCATTACATTAGACCTTAGTGCAATTACAAGTGAGAGTCTTGTGCTATTTTTAATTTGTATTTTTATATTATTAGTTTATACCTAGTTGTACTTTAGCTCATTCCAGCACAACACATAGACAACACCAACTTCATTATGTGTATTAGTGACTATACTCTACATGACCAAAATGCTATAGCTATATACTTGTCCAAACTTCCCACCACTACAGATATCAGTAATAAAACTCAACACACAACTCAGGATATAAATAACCATTATTTAAACCTAGAAGATGATTGATCACGTTGACCCTGATCTAAACCTACATAATCTGACACACAATCAAAACCTATTGGAAAGTAACTGCCTTTACTACACAGCATCACAAGCCAGCAGTATCCTAAACAATGATAAAAGTCTATCAGTACTTAACTACAACATCAGGTCCTTAAGCAAACACTATGATGACCTCCTGGCACTCCTTGAATCACTAAAGACACCCTTCTCCTGCATTATTCTTACCGAGACCTGGCTAAAACAGGACACAATAGATATCTACCCTCTACCAGGATACACAGCAATCCACAACTGCAGACCATACCAAGTTGGGGGTGGTATTGCAATCTATTACTCTAACCAATTATCTTGTATCAGCACCAATTGCTTTAGTGATGAATATGGAGAATACATTTTTGCTAATTTTACTGTAAAAAAACCTTAAGACGCCTATAACAATCGGTGCCATTTACCGGATACCCCACACTAACATCCCAAACTTCAGTGAGAAATTAAAGGCACTAATAACAAACAGACAAATGAATAAGCACCACCTTCTCTTAGCTGGAGACTTCAACATCAACCTTGGCCTACTAGATGATCAGCCTGTAACTGATTTCATCAACATATGAACAACACACTTCTCATACCAACAATAACTAAAACCAACCAGGCTCACTGAAACAAGTGCAACCATAATAGACCACATAAGGACCAATATACTAGCCCCCCTTAAATCAGGGATAATCACAGATAGCACTACAGACCACTACCCTACCTTCCTCTTGACAAACATTAGTAAACCACCACTTGAATACAACAAAGTCTCATTTAGACTCCATGATGAGGCCTCAATAAGGAAGTTCACAGCTGACCTAGAGACTGTTGATTGGCCTACAGAATTCTCCAAGGCCAATGGTATTGACGACTGGACAGACATTTTTCTTAACAAACTACTTAGACTATACAACAAACATTGTTCTATAAAAACGAAACAGATCACAAACAAACGGCTTCGTTGCCCATGGCTAACCAGCACCATTCTGAAATCCATTGATAAGAAACACCAATATGAAAAGCAATACAGACAGGGCTTAATACACAAAGATATTCTTAAACACTATTCATCAGTCCTCACCAAGTAATAAAGAAAGCCAAACAACTATACTACTCCAGTAGATTCACTGACACAAGAGGAGATATAAAAAAGACCTGGAAAACACCCTCAGATTCTAGGGAACCACAAACTGAAAAAAAAAAAAATATTGTCCTAACTAAACCTAATGAAACACCACTGCAACCCACCGACACAGCTAACAAGATAAACGACTTCTTCTCAACCATAGGTTCTAATCTCGCCAATAAAATCCCACGTACCAATGCCCATGCTGGGGACTACCTAGATGGGAATTTCCCAAATTCCTTCTATCTTGCTCCAACTGAGCCCACGGAAGTCACCGAGATTATAAAGTCACTTAAAAATAACTCAGGGAATCTGTCTCATGTCCCACCATTATTGTACAAGAGAGTGGCCCATGTCCTCTCGCATACTATCTCATTGCTTTTTAACAAGTCACTAGAAGCTAGCACCTTCCCGAAACTACTCAAGACGGCAAGGGTTACACCAATACATAAAGGTGGTGACCCTACAGATTTAAACAACTATAGGCCAATATCAAACTTACCATTGCTATCCAAAATCTTTGAGAAACTCGTGCACAGGAGACTATATTCATTTATAACGTCACAAAACATACTCAACCCCTGCCAATTTGGATTCAGGAAAAATAAAAGCACTAACGATGCAATTATAAAAATGCTAGATCTGCTTTACACAGCATTGGAAAATAAGGAATATCCACTAGGAATTTTTATTGACCTAAGAAAAGCTTTTGACACAGTAGACCACGGCATCCTACTCCACAAACTTGACCATTATGGTATAAGAGGCCATGCGCTTGCATATTTCAAATCTTACCTTACTAATAGGTATCAGTATGTCACCATTAAAGACACAGCATCAACAAACACAGCCACTTGATACTGGAGTTCCGCAGGGAAGTGTCCTTGGTCCCCTGCTCTTCCTCATATACATCAATGATCTTCCAAACGTATCTCGACACCTGAACCCCTTTCTCTTTGCTGACGACACGACTTATGTCATCTCTCACCCTAATCTTGCAACCCTCAACACCATTGTTAATGAGGAGCTGATCAAAATATCGACTTGGATGACAGCCAATAAACTTACGCTTAACGTTGACAAAACCTACTACATTATGTTTGGTAGCAGAGCAGGAGATGCGCAAATTAACATTAAGATCGACAACACTCTAATTACCAGGCATAATGAGGGCAAATTCCTAGGCCTATACCTCGACAACAACCTGAACTTCAGCACCCATATCCAACACATAACCAAAAAAGTATCCAAAACGGTTGGGATCCTCTCCAAGATACGATACTACGTGCCGCAAACTGCCCTTCTCACACTATACCATTCACTTATATATCCATACCTCACCTATGCTATCTGTGCTTGGGGTTCAACTGCAGCAACACACCTAAAGCCAATAATAACCCAACAAAAGCCGCAGTAAGAATAATCACTAAATCCCATCCCTGGCAACACACCCCCCCACTCTTCATTGATCTAAACTTACTCCCTGTTCAGTACATCCACACTTACTACTGTGCAATCTACATCTACAGGACCTTAAATTCCAATATTAACCTTGACCTAAAACGCTTTATTGATAGTTGTGACAAAACCCACAGGCACAACACCAGACACAAACATCTCTATGACATTCCCCGTGTCCGACTAAACCTTTACAAAAATTCAATGTATGTCAAAGGCCCTAAAATCTGGAACACCCTACCTGAAAATTCCAAAACTACACACACATTCATCACCTTCAAAACTACCATCAGAAAACATCTTATCTCCCTGATACACCCTGTCAACTAATAATACGAATACCACCTGGTGGTTCACACTTACACTCACACACCCATTTGACCATAAACAGAAATATCAATCTCAATCTCAAAATAATGAATCTTAACTAGTCATAAGTTGGCCTGTGATACTCCAATACTGAAACTATGTATAGTGCCAAAACAAAAGCATTCACATTGCTAAACTCACAACTAGTATTTAGTCACTTAGCCATAATACCAACTTATCTCATAATTCTGTAACATTTTAAACCTAAGATTTAATATAAGTCTGCCCGAAATGCCTAGCCATGCTAGGTGTTCTAGTGGTACACTGTAATTATTATTTTACTACATGTAAACCACACAATAACCAAATTCTGTAAACTCAGCATTGTAATACTTACAGAGAATAAAATTTGAATTGAATTGAATAAATGTTGTTGGTCAGGCAACATGACAATATCTCCCCACACTAATGACTTATTATTATTAATAAAGATTTGCCGGTTTTCTCCCGGCCCGGGCCTTTTCCAAGTGGTGGCCCGGCCTTGGCTCCCTCTTTAGGGAGTGTCTGAGACCTAAGTCTCCCATGGGAGGAGGCACAAGTACCTCCTCATCTTTGGGACCAACTGTCCCCAGGCCTAGCCACAAGCTAGGCCTCTCTGGTCTGCCATCCCCGCCACAAGGGGGCAAATGGGAATGACAGTCTTATGAGCTAAAGGCTCGGGCTCAGGCACCTACCCTACCCTAGAAGGGTTAGGCATGGTGTCGATCCACTAATGATTTTTTTTTTTTTTTTTTTTTTTTTGCCGGTATTCTCCCGGCCCATGACGAGTTAGTTAGTTAAAGATTAGCCGGTAGTCTCCCGGCCCGGGCCTTGTCCAAGTGGTGGCCCGGCCTTGGCTCCCTCTTTAGGGAGTGTCTGAGACCTAAGTCTCCCATGGGAGGAGGCATAAGTACTTCCTCATCTTTGGGACCAATTGTCCCCAGTCCTAGCCACAAGCTAGGCCTCTCTGGTCTGCCATCCCCGCCAAAAGGGGGCAAATGGGAATGACAGTCTTATGAGCTAAAGGCTCGGGCTCAGGCACCTACCCTACCCTAGAAGGGTTAGGCATGGTGTCGATCCACTAATGACTTTTTTTTTTTTTTTTTTTTTTTGCCGGTATTCTCCCGGCCCATGACTTTCAACTCATGCTGGTTACTTGAACTTGATATGATAATATCTATATGAACTGTGTGCTTATGTTTAATACTTTTATTTTTCGTTGATATTAACATTGTTTTCACTGCGTTGTGTATACGTTTTTATAATCGTTGAGTGACATACTAGATCAAAGTGCTCCATATATGTCACTACCACTACTACTGCTACTACTACTACGACTATTATTGCTATTATTATTATTATTATTATTATTATTATTATTATTTATTATTATTATATGATTATTATTATTATTATCATCATTTTTATTATTCTTATATTCATGGGTAAACGCTAACCTTGCAAGGTAATGGATGTAAGGGCCTACCTATACTACAATATACTGAATAACCATTGTCTACTATTACTGACAAGAAAAAAGATTTTACAGTAAACTTGAGAAATAATGGTGTGAAACTGTATACATTTATATTCTAACATGCAAACACTTTCTCAGGTTACTGAACTGAAATTACATATTTTTTTTAGGAGATAACGCAACATAACATGTTATTTGAGAGGGATGACAAAAATAAATCTGCATGCAATATTAGAAAGTGTAATTACAACTTCATAGGTAATGAAATCTGTAAATTAATCGCGCTCTCTCTCTCTCTCTCTCTCTCTCTCTCTCTCTCTCTCTCTCTCTCTCTCTCTCTCTGCAATAATCACATTAGACTGACCTGGTTGTTATCATCAGCCAAGATATTGATGATTGCCATATAAAAGTTTTTGTGACTACGAGAAGAGATGGGTGCCAAGAAGAGTATTTTGCTAGCCAGCACTGTCTGCAACACTGCAGCACTCGCCAGCACTGCTACCCACCACTGCATCTAGAAAACAAAGATTTAATCAATGTTGAATGACGCAAACTAACTAAAAAGAGTAATAAATGTTAGTATACAGTAACTGAAACATTTGAAAACTAACCCACAATTTTTTTTTATATTTTATTAAAATCCATACATCAAATATAAATCAAATTGAGAAAGCTTTACCAGGTCTGTCATCCAACCAACAATTATATTACATGCACACATCAGTATTTTGTGTGAAAACAAAACCCCTTCCCACAATTCCTAGGATACAGACCAAGTAAAACATACAATATCAACAAAACATAACGGAGCTACCTAGCAAAAGAAACCTATACCATGGTTACAAAAAATATCCACGATATGCAGAAAATCTGTCTGCATAATACATCCACTTGAAATAATTGTACTGCTTACAATAATGCATGACATATAGACAGTAGAATTACAACTGACGTAATACACCACAAAAAATTACGATGGGTATCCTAAAGTAGTCATCCCTCAACTCCCTTCCCCCCGGGCAGGATCCCACTTCTCCCCACCAATTTATTCCCTACTACTAAAATCTGCTTTATTCCGATCCATACCTTGTAACGAAATTGGCATAGCCATATCATCAGTAAGGTATCAGAGGCATGTATATACAGCACTTGGACACAATAATGGACCACTCTAAGAAAACCGCATCATATAATGCATAGCACACAACATGGGAAAGAAGTGATTTTGAACAAACAGGTTAAGACCATTATCCTCACAAAACATCTATATAAAGCATCTCATTACATCATACCTATAATTTTTTTTATATTTTATTGAAAGTACACAAAATTATACCTATAATTAAAACACAAATCTTCCAGCACAGACTGTACGACTTGCAGGTAGCATTACATACATTGCTGTGACTCGTATGTACTGACTTAGTAAAACCAGTATTAACAGGTGCACACAGGCCGGGTCACCACTACTTGGAAAAGACCAGGGCCGGGAGAATACCGGCGAATAAAAAAAAAAAAAAAAAAAAAAAAAAAAAAAAAAAAAAAAAAATACATAAGGCTAAAGAGGTCTTTGTGGCATTTATGGATTTGGAAAAGGCGTATGACAGAGTGGATAGGGGGGCAATGTGGCAGATGTTGCAAGTGTATGGTGTAGGAGGTAGGTTACTGAAAGCAGTGAAGAGTTTTTACGAGGATAGTGAGGCTCAAGTTAGAGTATGTAGGAAAGAGGAAAATTATTTCCCAGTAAAAGTAGGCCTTAGACAAGGATGTGTGATGTCACCGTGGCTGTTTAATATATTTATAGATGGGGTTGTAAGAGAAGTAAATGCGAGGGTCTTGGCAAGAGGCGTGGAGTTAAAAGATAAAGAATCACACACAAAGTGGGTGTTGTCACAGCTGCTCTTTGCTGATGACACTGTGCTCTTGGGAGATTCTGAAGAGAAGTTGCAGAGATTGGTGGATGAATTTGGTAGGGTGTGCAAAAGAAGAAAATTGAAAGTGAATACAGGAAAGAGTAAGGTTATGAGGATAACAAAAAGATTAGGTGATGAAAGATTGGATATCAGATTGGAGGGAGAGAGTATGGAGGAGGTGAATGTATTCAGATATTTGGGAGTGGACGTGTCAGCGGATGGGTCTATGAAGGATGAGGTGAATCATAGAATTGATGAGGGGAAAAGGGTGAGTGGTGCACTTAGGAGTCTGTGGAGACAAAGAACTTTGTCCTTGGAGGCAAGAGGGGAATGTATGAGAGTATAGTTTTACCAATGCTCTTATATGGGTGTGAAGCATGGGTGATGAATGTTGCAGCGAGGAGAAGGCTGGAGGCAGTGGAGATGTCATGTCTGAGGGCAATGTGTGGTGTGAATATAATGCAGAGAATTTGTAGTTTGGAAGTTAGGAGGAGGTGCGGGATTACCAAAACTGTTGTCCAGAGGGCTGAGGAAGGGTTGTTGAGGTGGTTCGGACATGTAGAGAGAATGGAGCGAAACAGAATGACTTCAAGAGTGTATCAGTCTGTAGTGGAAGGAAGGCGGGGTAGGGGTCGGCCTAGGAAAGGTTGGAGGGAGGGGGTAAAGGAGGTTTTGTGTGCGAGGGGCTTGGACTTCCAGCAGGCATGCGTGAGCGTGTTTGATAGGAGTGAATGGAGACAAATGGTTTTTAATACTTGACGTGCTGTTGGAGTGTGAGCAAAGTAACATTTATGAAGGGGTTCAGGGAAACCGGCAGGCCGGACTTGAGTCCTGGAGATGGGAAGTACAGTGACTGCACTCTGAAGGAGGGGTGTTAATGTTGCAGTTTAAAAACTGTAGTGTAAAGCACCCTTCCGGCAAGACAGTGATGGAGTGAATGATGGTGAAAGTTTTTCTTTTTCGGGCCACCCTGCCTTGGTGGGAATCGGCCAGTGTGATAAAAAAAAATAAAAAGATAAAATGTAAATAGCGTGCTGAAAATTTCCAGCTATGACAGGACTCGCAGCAATGGTTTCAAGTTGGAAAAATTCAGATTCAGGAAGGATATAGGAAAGCACTGGTTTGGTAATAGAGTTGTGGATGAGTGGAACAAAATCCCGAGTACAGTTATTGAGGCTAAAACGTTGTGTAGTTTTAAAAATAGGTTAGATAAATACATGAGTGGGTGTGGGTGGGTGTGAGTTGACCTGACTAGCTTGTGCTGCTGGGTCTGGTGCAGTGCTCCTTCCTTGAGTGGAGATGAACAGGCTGGGTGGGTCATTGGGATAATCCGGAGTGTGGGTCATTGTTCTAATCCGGGGGGGAAACATGGGCCTGCTCCCCTTGGGTCAGTAGGCCTGTTGCAGTGTTCCTTCTTTCTTATGTTTTTACGTTCTAGTAGGTTGGCAGACAGCAGCCATCCAGGGAGGTACTGCCCTATCACACAAGTGTGAACCATGGTAGTAGGTTGGTAGACAGCAGCCATTCTGGGAGGTACTGCCCTCCTGTCACACAAATGTGAATCATGGTAGTAGTTTGGTAGACAGCAGCCATCTAAGGAGGTATTACTCTCCTACCACATGAGTGCAAAAAGTAGTTTGGTAGACAGCAACTATCCAGGGCTCTAAATTAATGGACTGTCGTGGTTCTCCACAGTGACTAGAAAATTGCTTAAACATTTGGGAGAGAAAAGCTTTATTATGCGACGTTTCTCTCACAGTGTAGCTTTATAAACAACCTGGTAAAGTTTTACTGTGGGTGAAATATGAAATAATGATGGTTTTTATTTGCTGAAAGAGACTTCTGAAATTGCAATATCAGTGTCTCATTTCTCTCGATACACTCGCGTAGTTCATTAATCACTTGTAACACTAACTTCAGGTGAATGGCCGCCCACAACAGTGAAGAAGAGAATCGCCTTCTTTAACAAGCCTTTTAACTTTAGTGAATGACTTCAAACAGACTGAAGCATATAGTAACGTTAACCCATTAAATAACTGTTAAACGACGTCATGACTCACGAAATCGTAATGATATGATTGTGAGGACTCGTCACGGGTTCAAACCCTACTCGTTCCGTGGTTTGTTATGCAAATTGATGACTGTGACAACCAGTCGACAAGCGTGCATAAAAAGCGAATACAACAAACCTTTATTGTAAACAATGCAAGTATTGTTTGCTAATGTGTGGGTTCCTGGTTCGAAGTAACTTAGCTCTTGTTAGTATGACGCTGCATGACGCCTGCGGGTCTGGCCTTTCCCAGTTAATAAAATATTCTTTTGCTGTATGGATACTTTAAGGTCGGTCACTGATAACGAATTTATGATGGTTAGTTGCCTAGGTGACATCTGATGGTGACCTTAGATTTCAAATTTCTAGATACAACCTCAAAAGTATGTTTTGGAAATTTGATTATTTAAAATAAAAACAGCCACTACTGCTACTACTACTACTGCTACTATTTCTTCTACTACTGATATTATTAGTGTTACTACTACTGCTACTGCTATTACTACTACTGTTGCTGGCGCTGCTGTTGCCTTGCTACTGCAACAACGCAAGGAACCGTGCTGGTCCATTGTGATACTTGATTATAGCCAAGGACTGGCTGAAATGTCGAGTTTGCGTAATTAATTGAGAATCCTTGCAGCCATAGTGTTGTGACTTGTTTAAGGCACAGTGTTGTGACTTGTTACAGCCACAGTGTTGTGACTTGTTACAGCCACAGTGTTGTGACTTGTTACAGCCACAGTGTTGTGACTTGTTACAGCCTCAGTGTTGTGACTTGTTACAGCCACAGTGTTGTGACTTGTTACAGCCACAGTGTTGTGACTTGTTACAGCCACAGTGTTGTGACTTGTTACAGCCACAGTGTTGTGACTTGTTACAGCCACAGTGTTGTGACTTGTTTCAGACACAGTGTTGTGACTTGTTACGGCCACAGTGTTGTGACTTGTTACAGCCACAGTGTTGTGACTTGTTTCAGACACAGTGTTGTGACTTGTTACAACCACAGTGTTGTGACTTGTTTCAGACACAGTGTTGTGACTTGTTACACCCACAGTGTTGTGACTTGTTACAGCCACAGTGTTGTGACTTGTTTCAGACACAGTGTTGTGACTTGTTACAACCACAGTGTTGTGACTTGTTACAGCCACAGTGTTGTGACTTGTTACAGCCACAGTGTTGTGACTTGTTTCAGCCACAGTGTTGTGACTTGTTTCAGACACAGTGTTGTGACTTGTTACAACCACGATGTTGTGGACTTCAACAGTTTGTGACTTGTTTAGCAGCCAGTGTACTTGTAACTGTTGTGACCACATTGTGACTTGTTTCACGCACCAGTGTTGTGATTGTTCAGCCATGTTATTGGACTTGTTCAGCCAGGTATTGTGACTTGTTCAGCCAATGTATTGTGACTTTATTGCCAACTATTGTGATATTGCGCTTGTCTTTCTTAGCCATGTCTTGATTTGTTGCAGCATGTGTTGTGACTTATGCAGCCACGTATGTGACTTATTGCAGCCATGCTATGTGCCTGTTCACATGTATTGTGGTTGT